TTTAATAAAAAAAAGAAGGAGAGAGAGAGAGGATTCATAACCTTAACAATTGACCCGTAACATTAACAATTAATTCGTAACATTAACAATTAACCCGTAACTTTAATAATCTTCCAATACAAACAACCAAAATAATAAAAAACAAAAATAATAAAATAATCATCATCAATCATTTCAACTATCATCTCAATACTTCATGATAAAGAGAGAGAGAAAACGAAAATAATAAAATAATACTCATCATATTTTAATAAAAAAAGAAAGAGAGAGAGAAGGGTATTATGGTCTTCACATATTTTAATGTCTAAAAGAAAGAGAGAGAGAAGGGTATTATGGTCTTCACATATTTTAATGTCTTGGGTTTTGTGTTTTGGGACTCAGAGAACAAAATCTTTATTTTTGGGGGTAAAACACCCGTTGACAAAGTCTTGGGGGGGTGGGAAACACGTTTCCTTAGCTTTTGGGGGCTGGAAGCATTTTTCCCTTAATTTAATATGATTGAAGACCTTTCTGTTCATTTAACAGTATCATGAAGAAGTACCTTAAAATATCAAGACCCGAGCAATATAATGATGATAATGATATTAACATTGATAGTTATAGAAAAAGTTATATCATTATTTTATATACAGTGTGACACCACTATTATGAATTCCTGGCTCCATCGTTGCCAACCTGGTGAAGAAAATATACAAATCAGAGATAAGATTTTGATCACCAGTGGCTGAGAGGAGTTGAGTAATCTTGTTGTGATAGCTACAAATCAAAGATAAGATTTTGATCACCAGTGGCTGAGAAGAGTTGAGTAATCATGTTGTGTTAGCTACTGGGACTTGTAAAGAAGGCCATTTTTCTCCAAGTCAGTCAGAAAAGCCTACACGACGCAAATGGTTTCCTTCCTTCGGCTACGATATGTTGCTGCGTTCGCTTACTATATAAATCAGTGTACTGACAAACTCCGCATCAATCATAAAGGTGGATTAGTTAAGCGACACGAGCTCTGATTTCTTCTCTCTCAAACATCTCGAGGAAAACTAGGGTAAAACTCTAACTATTAATCAACAAACTCCAAATTTCAACGTTGTGTGATCAAAGTCATTTTACAGTAGGCAGAGAGCCAGTGGCGGACCCACCTTAGTTCAAGATGGTTCACTTGAACCACTCAGATTTTTCAAAAAAAGATTATATACTATACATATCACCGGAAAATACCAATGGTCTCTACAGCCTAGTGGTATCAAAGCTGGTTTAAAAAGTGAGTAAGAGGTCTGCGAGTTTGATACTCCAACCTTGCACATTTGTTTTTTCTTAACAAACTCCCTCATTTTTTCTTATTCTGCATGTGGCTAATTGGCCATGTATATTTGACCACCACTAAAAATGGTGTAGATCGCCACTGGCAGAGAGGTCCTGAGGGTCGAAGCCTACGCCAGTTAATAATCTCGCGGACAACTACCCCCGTTTGCGAATCTTGGAAGTTAGGAAACTGCTAAACTAAAATTAAAAAAAAAACCTTTTAAATAATTATAGACGTGGGAAGAGGGACAATCCCCAACGTACCCACAAATAAAAATGGCCGTCCAGTTGAATGAGCTCCTCAGTCCTCACTAGCGACAAAATCTGCATGATGCCCGCAAAACAAGGCCCGAGCCGTTAGCTCTGCTTACCCAAGTGCATTTAGAAATAACAATTGTTGATCTCTCTCCCCTCCCCTCCCCTCCCCTCCCCTCAATCCGCTCCACTCTCCTTTCCGAAAAACCTCGTTCCAAACGCAATTTTGTCCCTCACTCCACGCCCGCCCTCTACCGGACCAAGACTCAGTCAGCTACCGCTGAAGACTGAATCAGAGCAGTAACTACAGTCAACAATGACAAACTGTTCAGCAAAAAAAGTCCACCAAATCTAGTTCCTTTCCTCTGATCAGTTCCTTAACTAAATCAACCAGCTAGCCCCAACGTCACATTGCATGATGCTGAGTCTTCTCACGGTCGGCAGAGGTCTGGAGTCTGAAAACCTGCACCGGTTACTTCCTCGCTTTGGAAGGGCATGCTAAACGTTAACTCCTAGTATTTGGCAACTTCTGCATTTGAAATCTTTGGGTGATTCCAAACTGACAAAATTTGAATGGCTCCAACAACATGGAAGGAAAGAGGAAACAACACAAAACCTATCCACAAATAAAATGCCTGCCCAATTAGAAGAGTTCTCACGAGTGACAAATTTTTGAATGATACTAAAAACAAGATCCACGTTAGTTTCGTTTCTCCAAGCATTTAGAAATCATAATCGGTGCATGTTTCATGATGCAAGCAGGAAAACTGCAAAAAGATTTGGAAAGAACAGGTAGATCTTCATCAAATTATAATAGGGGTACAGATTTCGTGGATAATAAGATAATAATGGACAAGAAGTGGCTGGTGAAGGGATCCAAAGGCCAGAATCATAGTTTAGAAAGAAAAAAAAAGAAAAGGAAAAGGATGCTATATCTTAGAGTAAGAGAGAGCTTTCAAAGGTTGAAAAAAGTTAGCAAACCTCATATTTTTCAAAATGTGAAAACAAATTCATGAAAGGGCTATAATTTTTTTTTAATTAGCTTTAATAACACAAATTTACACACGTTATGTTAGATGATAAATCTTTATGTCAATGAAATGACAAACACAGCTAGAATAATATGTAGAGAAAATCTGCAGCGAAACATTTGGTTATTGTTATCAAACTTGAGACAACGAACATGAAGTGCTCTGTGGTTAAATAGCAAATAATTACTCAGAAAAGTATATGAAAGAGATAAAGTGAATGAATAAACCCCTCCATAAAGTGAATTGTTGATAATAGTGTATTGTAGTGGGTTTTAGTCCCACATTGCTTGGGAGAACAAACCTCACACT